ATTTAAACTCAAACTCTCTTGAGTTCACTCTTTTTCTAATTCGAAATTTTTCTACTTCAAAATTTCTGAATTTGAAAGGGTTTAAAACCAACTTTGAAAAACTTCAGGATCAATCTCGATGCATCTTCACATAGAATTCAGGGTCGGAGTCATGAAAAAAAAATGCTCCTCAATGTCGAAATGATCATGAAGAACTTTTTTCAGAGTCAATACCAGAGTTACATCAGTAAAATAGTCAAATATTTTTCCTCTTAAATAGTAACAATATTTTTTTTTCACATATCAAGTGATTAGTAAAACTATACTGCATTATATCAATGCATAACTTTTGAAAAAAATCCAAGAAATGTTCTTATTGGCAAGTATCACACGATGATACATATATACTACTCAAAACGGATTTTCAAACTTTGTAGGAGTCAGACTCAAACAGTAGATACTGACAGAGTTGAAACCATAATAAAAAAAAATTCATATCCCAGAGTTGAAGTCGAAACGAGTTATCGCCGAGTTGGAGTTCAAACAAAATCAAAAAAAGTTGTTGTTTTTGAAAAGTCACAGCAGAAAGAACTCACTTTTTTTTGCGGAATTAGTATGGAAAACTCTTATCGCAGGTTCAGAGATGAAAAGAGTTTTCTCGGAATAGAAATCAAAAAAAAATTTCTTATCCCGAAGTAGAAGTCGAAAAAAGTTCTGGTTCGGGAATCGGAGCGGAAAGAAATGACTTTTGTAGAATCGGTAACGAAAATTTTTATTGTAGTATGGAAGACATAAAATAAATTATCTAGGAGTCGGAGTCAAAAAAACTCATTTACGCGAAATCGATGGTGAAAAGAGTTTTCATCTGGAGTAAGAACGTCATGCCCTATGGACACATATTGAGAAATGCGCATGAGAAAAAAAATTCTATGCGAAAAAGGGTAGTTTCGAGTTTTAATGAATTTCTTTTTTCCATACGCATGACTTTGTTGAGATTCTTGAACAAGAAAGTCATGCTCTAGGGAGAAATCTTGAGGTCTGTGCAGATCAAACATAAGAAAAAAACCGTTCGTCTAGAGCTCCCTGAGAACAATAAATATTTTTCAGTAAGCTTAGGAAATATTTCCCATAAGGTACTCATAGAAAGCGTCTACTTGAATACTTCTCACTCATTGTACTGTTTGTCAAATTAGAATGCTACAGAGATTAATAAAATAAGAAGTCTAGAAAATAATTTTGCTTCTTATAAATTGTTTTATAATTTTTACTCGATTCTGTTTTCAATATTTTGTTTTTATTGTAAAGCTTTATTTTTACAGTACATATGTTTACTTTTATTGAAATTATGCATAGAGAAACATATTATCATGTGGGTTTTTTGTGATTTATTTAATGCTGAATCATTTTTATTTTAGATTGTAATACACGTAGTAATATTAATACACTGTTATTAAATTTTTACTATTTTATATTGCTCGAAATTCTACTACTTTAAATTTCAGTAAGTGTCTTTTGTTTTCGGTTTGTGTTTTATGATATTTTTATTTGTTAGATCAGTTGCCATGGCTACTGCTGTGAGTGCTGATACTAATTTGACTGAAGTTCTCATGCTTTGGTCTAAACCTGTTACACAAAATATTAGGTCTTTGCCTGCTATATTATTCGTCAATATAGTTACATTAATTAATCATTTGTGCAAGAATATTACAAAAATTAACAAATTTGTGTTGGTGATTTCTGGTGATGTTCTTAAAATATTACTTGATGATAAAATTCATGATTTCCCACAAGTTGAAGTCATTTATGTGTATTATGATAATGAGAGTAATCTTGAACAAGATAAAAATGATTATCAAACAAAATATCCAAAAATTCAGTTTATTTACGAAAAAGATGTAGAAAGACAAATAGCAGAAAAAATAATAGTTGATCATGCTATTAGTTCACCGAAATCGATTGAACGTGAAACAATATATGGTGTTGCATCAACTATAGAACAACGTATTAGTGCTAAACGGTCAAATACTAATAGTCGTCATTCACTAGAATCAAAACGGCTTTCTATCATGAAGACACATGATAATTCTGTCAAGAATATATCACAAATTCCATGCACTTATATATGTCCTGTTTGTAAATTAATATTTCGTGACCCTTATCAACTCAATTGTGGACATCGTTGTTGTGAATCATGTATTAATTTTACAAATAAGTAAGTGTATTTTCTTTTTTGATTATTATTAAATTTGATTTTCATTTAATCCTATATTTCTTAGAGAAATTATCTGTATAACATGTTCTGAAGTCTCAACTAATGAAAATGTATGTTGAATAATATTATGTTGCATTTTTATTTCAATTTTCATTGTTTTAGATTCGATTTGATCGTGGTTTTTCTAGAGATATGCAACAACAAACAATATCTTGTTCGGTGTGTACTTGGAGTGGATCTTTGGAATTCTATCGAGTATAAAATATGAATAGAGTTTTAAACAATGATTTTTATATTTTCTTTTTCTAAGAAACATATCGATCAAAAGCATCACAATAGAGAATCTACAATTGCTACCACAGATGTATATACTCAACAGGTAATACTTAGTATAATCTTCAATTTATATAATAAATGTATAACTATGGTTTTAGTCTGATCAAAGCAATCGTTTTAAACCTGTAAATAAGACTGGAGTGCATCAAGAAATTATGTCGAATGTTTTTCCTCCTGTATCTTCTATATTTCCACTACATTGTAGCTCATCGAATCGCCTAAATATTCTAGTAAAGCATCAACAACATATTCATAATATAAATCGTCATAGTTACACATTACTTCAAACTCTAACTCAAGAGTGTTCTTCTCTCAAAGTATCCTGTGAAACAAACGCTGCTCTTGCAGATGGTCTCAAAATTAATTATGATCTAATAGCTCAAGAATTTTGGTCAATAAAGCAGATTGTAGATGATGCATTACCTACATCTCATGATGGCAGATACATATGGAAAATAAACAATGTTCGAGAAAAAATAGGTATTCATTAATTCTGGTTACTAAATCGCTCTCAATTATCTATTTTCTGGTCTATAAGATTCATCAATTAATGTAGACTAGATTAATTGAGTTTTCTGTATGATAAAAGTGCGAAATGAATATGATATCTTATTATTGTTATGGATGAGTTCACTCTACTTTAGATATTTTATTCGAAATCTTGATCAACTAATTAAAAATAATGAAACTAACCAGGAAATGAATAAGAACACTTTTTATCACAGCTTCTAATATAGCTAAAATGTCAAATTTACGTATCCCCTCTTGACTTTTTTTTCTATTGATCTATAATTTGTTGGAAAATAGCTTCGACATACTTATTTTTTAATTCTTAAATAGGTACATATTATCATTTGTGTTTAGTTGATGCTTCGTATTTCTCGTGTTAATATGAGCTTACTATAATTTGATATTTTCTATCTTCATATTCCTAATTTATTATTGGTATTAACTGCTGCACAAATTGATTTATATACCAACCATACTTTATTGCACACTTTTTGTATTTTAATGAGCTTTGATGATCGACATTCATCAATTCATTGTTTCAGTTTCTTTGTCTGAGAAACAGATATGGTATATTGATATATTACTAGTCACCGCTATTAGCATCTATAAATCATGTACACCCACTAGAATTTAGAAGAAGAATTATTTGAAACATTGAAAATATCTTATCTAGCTTTGCCTTTACTACGATTGCTCAAATTGCAATCATTAGCAAAAGATTCTATCACTTACATTTTCGTTTGCTTGTTTTCACAATGGCAACGTTCAACTTTTGAAATTTGAATAAGTGCAGTAGATGGGAAATGTATATCTATCATTTTAAACTAATAAACATGGACAAATGTCTATTAAATAAGACTCAATTTAATTCGACCAGTTGTCCTAAAGATTCTGATAGATTAGTCTACCGCTTCTGAATAAACATGTGGAAGAATTTCTTTAACTTAATGAAGTATTCTTTTTTTATTTCTTTATTTATACTTATTATTTGTTTTATTTCATAGTTGATGCAGAATCCGAGCGGCAGAAGTCGATTTATTCACCTCCATTTTATTCGTCACCAACAGGTTATAAAATGTGCTTAAGATTGTATTTAAATGGTGATAGCGATACTCGTAATACACATATGTCTTTATTTTTGATCATAATGCGAAATGATTATGATGCTATATTGCACTGGCCATTTTCTTATGAAGTATTGTTTCGTTTAATTGATCAATCAACATTAAATAATAATCAACGTAATATAACTGCTTCATTTCGGCCTGATATAAGATCAAACTGTTTTCATCGTCCTCTTAGTGCTATGAATGATGGGTATGGTATTAAAAAATTCCTGTCTCTTGTAGAATTCGAACAAAATAGAAGCCTTTATATAAAAGATAATACTATGTTCATTGAGACTAATATTAACTTTTTAAGCGAAAGACAAGGTAAAATATTTTATATGAAAAAAAAAATGTTTTCAGTTTTGCTTGTTTTTTTACTTAGTAATGTCGTCGATTTTGCATGAATGTGGATCACCGAACGATGAATGGCATATCGACACAATTAGTGAAGATTTTATGAATATAAGTTAACATTCTGATACTTTGTGTTTCTATACAATGTGTCAGAAAATGAATATGCAATTAAAAACAAGATCAGTAGTACTTTCATATCCGTTTAGAAATATTATTTCCATTATTTTCATCATTGTAAAACTAATTTGTCAGTCTTGATAGTATTTAATCGAGAAAAGAGAGAATACTAGAATTATTAGTAATACTTACATAGAGTTAGTAAAAAATATTCGATTAATATATGCAGATGAGTAAATTTCCTCTAGCTTCCTTTTTCTTTTGTTAAAAACAAACCTAATCATTTTCATTCTTCACTTGTTTCAAAACTTCTTTGAATCATTATCATAAAGAAAGTTACACATGTATGTAAATATAAGCAAAGCATCATTAATAAGTGGTTGGGAGGGAATGGTAATGAATAAAATACTGCATACATATGATTGCAGTAATATACAAGTATTATATAACTACATTTAAATGTGTAACTTTTCTTTATGGATATGTCTTGAGTACAAATCTGAACATTCGAATTCGAACTTGAAGGCAATCATTTTCATTTAACGAATTTAAAGAAAATAGAAGTAACCCAAACGAAGGGATTTCATGATTGGCTATGGTACATCTACACACAGTAAAATAGAGCTATTAGCATAATTTCTGTAGAATTAAAATATGAAGCACGATGTAGCTATCTTTGATAATCACAGGAAGATTCTTTTATTCTATCTATTTCGTGGCACATTCCTAAATCATCTTTTTACTTATTCCTCAAGAACCGAAATCAGAAAGTAATTCATATATTATAAGAAGACGTTATTGAGGTACACAAAATTCTGCCCTATATACTAGGTGGGTAAAAATATTATTCCAGGGGAGTAACACTATGATTTCAAATAGAAGACATAATGAATTTTATATCAAATGAAAGCTCGTCAAAAATGTGGTTTATTGATACTAAATAGTGAGGGTTATAAAAACTTTTTAATATCGAACTTAAGAAACTTTCAGAAATTTTATACTTTTTTTGGAATGGGAAAGTAAGGTGCCAGTAATTCAAAAATCGAGTAAAATGTTTTTCTTGGATATTTTTATATGATTCGATAGAGCTCGTCGAGATCTACAAAATTATATATATTAAAAAAATTTTAAGTTAGTTTTTTGCGATAAAAAATTCAAAAAACTATTTGGAAAGTCTTAAAAAACGTTAAAAAAACTCATATTTTTGATATTGAAGAAACACACTGGATGTTTCAATAAAATTAACCTTTTTTTTTATTATTTTTACTTCCTCAGGCATTTCGAAATATACACATTCGATGCAGTTTTCCACGCTACAACGAATGAGTATATTTTCAAACACCTTACATAAGGATATTAATGGAAAACAGCTGAATTTGATGTAAAAAAAAGACCACTTTTTTCTCTATAAAAACTCTAAAAATCGCGAGTTTTTTGGTACATCTTTTAGACAGTTTTCAGTGTGTTTTAACCCAAGAACTCTGTTTAAAAATCTTTTAATATATATAGTTTTGTAGAGCTCGACGAGCTCTATCGAATCGTGTAAAAATATCCAAGAAAAACATTTTACTCGATTTTTGAATTACTGGCACCTTACTTTCCCATCTCAAAAAAAGTATAAAATTTCTGAAAGTTTCTTAAGTTCGATATTAAAAAGTTTTTATAACCCTCACTATTTCGTATCAATAAACCCCATTTTTGACGAGCTTTCATTTGATACAAAATTCATTATGTCTTCTATTTGAAATCATAGTGTTACCCCCCTGGAATAATATTTTTACCCACCTAGTACATGAATGAAATCAAATCTCTAAGACATCATGAATCTGGTATAACCTGAATTAACAAAAAAACCATCTAATGCAAAATAAACATAAGAAAAATGTTGGTAAGTTAATAAATAAGAAAAACCGAAAAAATACTACCATCAACTATGACAATAGATACAACAAATGTTATAAATAAATCAAATGTTAAACTAACAAATGATCAATTGTAAGTATTATCCAAAGGCTTGAAATTCACCAAAAACACCTAAATCAATGAATGTAATTGAAGTAATATCAAATAGAGAATATGCATTAAATTTAGTGGGACCAGCAACAAAACAACTAGCTATTTCTGAAATGAATATATTCATAAAGCGATGGAAAGGACCTAAAAACAATACTTAAATGCCAACGGACAAGAAGCAATAAAATAATTGAAAAACATGCCTGTAGGTAAAGGAGAAAGAGTAATAGCGATGAACAAACAAGAATATATAATAAGGATCGAAGAAAACTAAACGACAGTGATTATTATAAAAAAGTAAAAGATCGAACAAACACGATCAAGGCTAAAATAACAACGCTTACCAATAGATTATTTAAAGTGAATCGAATTACTCAGAACATAAAAAATGAATTTTCATGAGACGACGATCTTCCAAGAATAATAAGACAACCTAAAGCACACAAAGAAGATTTCTAATGCGATTATTTACAATTTCAAACATACGATTCTCTTACTTGCGTCAAAATATTCATTCTCATTCATTCAACAATTAAAAGAAACAATCCAAAATTCAATATGTAACACGTTCGAATTCATCCATGAAATATCTAAACTCAAAATAGACCAAGATGAATACTATCAGTTTCAATACACAAGATTTATTTACGAACATACCGGTAACAAGAGCTGCTGGTATAGCTACAAATAGAATAGGTAATTCCGAAAATTTCAGTGCATCACGTTTGACTAAAATACACATCAAACAAATGCTATTATTATCATTAAACAATAATTATTACCATTTTGATAAGAAATTTTACAGACAAAAACAAGTTTTACTGATGAATAACTCTGTATCATCCATTCTAGCTGATCTTTGCATGGATATATACACGAAGACAAATCTGGACCACGCTAGTTTACTCTTTAAATTCTAGAGGTAAATCGACGGCATTTTTATAATAACCAAAATGAATGAAGAACAAGTTGAAATATATGTCCAAGATCTCAACAAAATAAAAAGTAAAATTAGATTCCCTCATGAATATGAAAGAAATAATAGTATTAACTTACTTCACACGATATTGTCAAAAAACAATGAGAATATGATTAGTATCGGACGGTATAGGAAGTACACAGCATCCGATAGCTTATTGAACTACTCTTCATATTATGAATAATCAATTGAAATTAGTATTACTAACAATGGAGGTGCTTGTGTTGTCAGTGAAGTCGATTAGATATATTCGGGTCAAATGAAAGCTCTCACCACCAAACTAACATGGTTAAAATATTAGCTGCCATTGGCTTACCTAGAAGGAAATATTCGATTTTTACGTTACTCAGGGTCTGAATATACAAGAATATTAGGATTATTTACATTAGTTTTCTATCAAATAAATTAAGTATTTCAATAGTAGGCATCAAGAATCTTCCTGAGATTTATCAATAACATTAATATTACATGAATTTCGATGTCTTCTAGAAATTAAGTAGTATCGAAATGAAAAATAAGATATGTATGTTTGAAAAATGACTTGTACGTATAATTTGAAATTAAAATGCATTGATGCATCACTTGATGCCCTATTGACCACTTCTTCGCAATTGGTATTAAGAAATCACAAAGAAATATACTATCGAAAAATTATTCTTTTTCATTCTTTGCTATATCTACCAAGTACAAAGGTTTATTTGATTAAATAAAAACATGAATTTATTGAACATCGCTAAACATCTTCTCGATTTGACTCAAACTGAATTTGGATCTGGAAATTCTGTAACAACTGCTGATGAAATTTTTGCTGCAGAACGATTATTCGAAGTTCTGAAGTCATTTAAAGATAGCTACCTTAGTCAGCTGTATACTTATGATACTCTTGAATTTGAAGATAAATATGATGAAATGGCTGATGAAAGAGAGAGTGATGGTGAGATGGATGATTTTGATGAAAATGATCATTCTGATTTAAAAAATCGTTTTACATCAGAAGAAATGGAAAATATAATCGAATGGGTTGATCAACATCCCAATGCCAAATTTGCAACTATTTCCCATTATTTTAGAAAAATCAAATCCATGACTTATATTAAAAGATTTAGAGAATATATCGAAAACAACGGCAGAAGATTAGAAAAAGTTAAAGAAATTAAAGAATTTATGTTTAATGAATTTTATCTGAAAAGAACAATTGAAAAAGAAGCCGTTCATGATGATGATCTTGAACTTTATGCAATTCAAAAAGCAAGAGAATTAAATTGGGATACATTCAAGGCAAGCAAATCGTTTATCAATACTATTAAAAAGGAAAACAAAATATCATCAAGAAGATATAATAAAATTATTACTCGAACTAAAGCAAACAGAAACATCGGCAGTTTAAATGGTAATCAAACTTTTCTTTTTGAGCTTTAAATTCATGTCTTAATGTAATATATATATATTTAGATGCTCAAAATTGAATCAAAAGTAAAAGAGCTGTAATATCGAATTATTCTTCTCATCAGATTTTAAACAGTGATCCCTGTTCATTTCAAAAAGAATATGTTTCACCAAGGACCCTTTCTTTTACTGGTGAAAGAACAATCGAAGTGACTGTTAAAAAGAAACATAACTTAACGCACTCTTATACTGTACAACCTATTACATCAGCTGATGGTCGATTATTAGACAAATTTCTACTCATCCTTCAAGAAAAAGAAAATCAATTCGGTCAAAGAGTGCAAAAAGATTTAATTGTACCATCAAATGTTGTCGTAAAAGCTTCAAAATCAGGAAAAAGCAGCGGTGAGAAGCATCGTGCTTTTTTAAATGAAGTTCTACGTTCATTGGTTAGTAAAACATTTCTTCTCTTTCTTGATTCTTGGAAAACTCAAGCTGATCTAATCAAATTTAGAGCAGTATTTCCTAATCAAGACAGTCAATAATTGATTTTTCCTGAAGGATCCACCGGTAATATTCAACCGCAAGATCTTTCTTTGTTTCTCTCATGGCGATCTATTCATGAAGAAATCGACCATTATATTCATATTAATCGAACAGAAATTACCATAGTGATCGTCAATATTTCATCAACATCCATTCTATTATTCACAATCAATTATCAACTTCACGATTTAAAAATCTAATTAGGAATGGATTTATACAAGCTGGAATAACAAATGAAACGACTGGGAAGATTGAAAAACCAAAAGATGTTTGGTTCAAATTTTATGATCTGTACTGTTCAATTAACAATTGCAATGAACGAACACTATTAATGTGTGCTTGGTGCGAAAAAACTCTTTCTTACTATCATCTAGTTGAAGATCTACACCTACACTTTTAGTAAATTTGTTAAAATAGCATATTATATAATCTATTGTTTNTTCAGATTCGATTTTTGAATTACTGGCACCTTACTTTCCCATTCCAAAAAAAGTATAAAATTTCTGAAAGTTTCTTAAGTTCGATATTAAAAAGTTTTTATAACCCTCACTATTTAATATCAATAAACCCCATTTTTGACGAGCTTTCATTTGATATAAAATTCATTATATCTTCTATTTGAAATCATAGTGTTACTCGCCTGGAATAATATTTTTACCCACCTAGGGCTTCAACATTCGTTTTATATCGTGTTTCACAAAATGATCCAAAAAAGTGAAGGGATATGAACATTACGAGAAAAAGAAAATCAGCAATATTCACAAATACTCGAATCTGAACTCAAACCCGAACATGAGTATATCTCCATTATTGTTCATGTATCTCAAAAAAATCCTTAAGCAATTACCTAAATACTCGACTAGTTAGATAGTGTTCGAATATGCCAATAATAATGCCGCTTTTGACGAAGGAGAAAAAGGGAAAATTTTGTACTTCGCTAATACTCAAATCTTGAAGTATGATTGAAGTATTTTGACTTTATTGCCAAACAGACTTATTTAAAATGAACACAAACTAATGTTCTAGTAACACACGTTGATAGTAGACTTGAAATAGCAAAGATATTCTAGAGGATATTTTTGGCATATCCTTGAAGTACAAAATTCTCGACTTTTGTCGCTTGACTCTCGGGTATATATCTTTATTGTCCCATTTGCTTCATATCCTTTCTCTATTATTCTTTGCCGTGTTCATCTTTTTTATTCTAGTTGAGATAGAGATGTGATGCACATTTATTCTTCTAATCAATGATAGTTTTCAAAATAAATCGCATTTTTCCTCAGAGATTCATTAATAATTGCTAATTTTTCATCTATTTACTGTTCTGTAGACTTACCTTGTTTACTTTTTTTAATAGTTGAATCTAATTGATTGCCGTTTTATGATCGAATAGAAGTAAAAGTTAAATAATGAACAATAATAAAATACTTGGTAGAATATTGGAAAAAATGTTTTTCCATGGATGCTCATCTATAATTTCACATAGCATATACAATAAAAATTATAGTCTATTTTTTTTTAAAAAGTTTATAAGTGTAAATTAAAGTTTAATCTTTGTAGAAAAACATTTTTTCGAAACTATTTCTTTTTTCTTATATTAATTCTATATTCTCTCACAAATTTCTAAAAAAAATACATAAAAATTTAAAAATCTGACAAAAAAATCTTTTTTAACCTCGAACCTGAAATCTGTATTCATGACTAAATTTACGAATAATTAAATTCTTTTTTTTTGTCATTAAATGTAATTTTACTTTTCTGATAAAAATGAAAAGACTTACGTTGAACAATGAGTTACTATGTTTGATGGACAAAAAAAGTAGAATATTATATTTTTCAATTCTCATTAACAGTCATGTCTTACCGGTTCTTTTAACTTTTGATGTAAAGATACTCATGAATGCATAATTGTTTTCCGATTAATTTACTTAACGACTGACAACTTATTTTCACAGTTATGTTTGTATGAATATTTATTTGTCAAGCTTGAATTTATTTTATGACTATCTATCGATAACTATGCCAGATACTCATTTGTTTTTTTTTTGCATATTTTTTTTACTGTAACACCAAACAATTTTTATTGTTATCAATAAATTAGAAAGAAGTCATTAACTATGTGTTATTCAAATATACAGAGTGCTTCAATCGTTTTTTGGTAACAAAATAAAGCGATTTGTGAAAGAACCAGACTAATTTTTTACACAAATTATTGATATTCACATTTGTATTATAAATACATAATTAATAAACGGAAGGATGCCTCACATAAATTTTTCTACACTAAGATGTTTTCAACTGAGAACTATATCAATCGACTATCCATCTTATAATTTTTTTCTGGGAAAAATTTCAGTTCGAACAATTAAAGTGTTGCAGAGTAATGACGTAAATATTGTTCTAAACAAAGACCAAAATCGAATCGCATTGTCACAGAATTCAATTCGATTCAGCAGCGATTCTTTCATTAAGTCTTAAACATGAGTAATAAAGTTCATTTCAATGTAGGGCTTATGTCCTCTTTATCTTGTACTTTTGCAAATTGCACTGATCTCTTTGTATAAGAAGTCTACTATGTCCACTATTGTTTGTATTTTATTTTAAAAAACAATGTCAGTTTCTATTGATTTATTTTAAGATAGATGATTTTAAAGGAAGCAGATCTTTGTGCCGCTGCTGTGATGGCCATGTCTCTTTCGATATTCCTAGTAGGACTTTCTAATTGTATGTAGTATTTAGAACTGTCAATGTTTTGCACCTTTTTAGTCGACACATGGATATAGTTCTATTATTGGTATGGTGATGTTTGTATTCTCATTTTCCTAATATCTATGTCTTCTTCTAAGTAGATGATACCTATAGCAGCGTTAATTATGTAAAGTCAAAAACTACTACCTTCACCGATTGATAACCAAAAAAATATTTCTTTTTATAAAAGCCAAGTTCTAATATGTACTGCAGCTCTTCTTTGAAGTTTCCAGATTTTTCTAAATCGATTAATTTAGTATAGAGATACACGAAAATCTAGGTCAAATTTGATACACGATGTAGATACATTCTTATTCGTTTCGGTCTCTGATATATGCAATTTGCACTCTTAAACAAAGTGTTCATAAACATCGATTTTTTAGATTTCCAAAACAAGACTGGCGACAATCACGATTACGCAGTTCACTCATTTCAGGAATTTCCGCCAACTACATTCCGTAGTAACTAAAGATATAAGACTTTTAATAGGAGTTAAAGAAGTCAATTTAGGTTCGACCATATAATTCCATTTCGAATGCTAATGTTAGCTTACATGACGATCTGAAAAAAAGTGATATGTGCATTAGTAACAATTAGCGGTTTTGTCGTTATTTGTATTTCTTTTTTTCTGAATATAGATTGCATTTCAAAATACTCACAACGTATGGAAACAAAGAAACAAGAAATAATTCTTGAGAGTGTGGATGAACTAAAAACTCATGCCGGTGCCCTTCTACAGATTGACGACATCCTATCTACTAATTGATCTAAGTGACAGGGAACATCAAAGTGTGGATGCTGCGGTGTCATCGATTTCGACAAATACTCACACTTGCACTCACAGAACACTTGCACTAGATACTTCATGAAACATTTAAAAGTACTCTGATGAATAAGAGTTTGAAAATCATCCNAAAGAAAATATAATCTATCCCAGTTAAACACAGCAATTCTGAATTGGTATACAAGCTGCTGCATGCGAGAATATATTTTCTTATCCAGTGAATATTTATTTCTCTTATTCTTTGATCATTCTAAAATTGTCTTGTATCCACATGTGTATGTTTCCTAAAAAGCATTCTTATGTTTTCATATGCAATGATAATAATAAGGATGTACATTCGCAATATTTCATGTATGTAAACATGAATATAGTTTACACTGTGACGCATGCCATGTCATACCGGTTTATGTATGGATATGGAGAATTTTTTGCTGTGTTTAACTGGGATAGATTATATTTTCTTTTTTTTTTTATCTTATAAAGAGAATGATTTGGCTATTGTTCAACGTACTACTTATGGAATAATTCAAAACTTTTTCTATTATTCATTATATCCATTTGAAGAATGGAATAAAAAAATAGTAAATTTTAATTTTATTGATGTTTTATTTATTCCATATAAACAATTGGCTATATTTGAATTGGTATTAATATTTAACTTAATCTTGTTTATTATTTATTCTCTTTAGAATGAATGTGATAAAATATTATTACGAGTATATGAATATAAGTTAAATAAAATAATTCAATTAACTAATCAATTATATTTTTCTGAAATAATTCTTGAAAAAAATAATTGTTCATCAACATATTTTCATCTTTATTTTAATATGTTATCAAATATGCTTTATTTAATTGGAAAACAATATGTATATAATATGAGTTTCTTAAATTGAACAATGAATTTATATTTTTTTGTTTTTTACAGATCTATGCATCAAATAATTATGGTGTTAAACTAATTCGAATATGGACCGATAATATTTCATCGAATGATTCAATAATTCTTGATCCTATTATGTTTTCTGATACTGGTCATTTAGCTTTTATCTATCAATTACATAATGATTCTTCATGTTGTTATTATTTTGCTATTTTTTCAAAAGCAGGTCAGCAATTGGAAAGTATAAACTAACAAACGACATTTATTTTAATAGAATAAATAAAGATTTTCGAAAAAGCAAGACACTCAAAACTTTTCAGATACGGTTTTGATTCGATAGAGCAAACATTTTCGTACAATATAAGACATCTTCGACCTTTTTATGATTTTTGCTTCGTTAAACTGCATTCATTTTAAGATAGACATTAACTGTTGTTCGGACTTTCTGTAAATTAAATACAGTTCCATAAAGAAAGACCACAGCGAATAAAAATCATATCCAGCAGCTTTTAGATGTAATATAAAAAAAACACAGTTTTTGGGTTCTAAGTTTTCCAGACAGAAAACTCGAAAATATCAAATTGCTCTCAATGTTTGTCTTCTACGAAGTCAACAAGTATAGATTATGATTTATTTAGCAACCAAAGGTTCTTGGATTGCTTTTATCTACTTCGTTTCTGACTCTTCTATACAAATGATATTCTCTATTGAAAAATATTTTTATTTGAAAATCTAGGTCTGTATTATGGATGGCGTACTCAAACATTTCGATCACCTGTCCTTATGAATGAACCATTCTTTTTTGATTCAACTGGTAGCTTCTATTTCAATGCTTCACCACCTTTATTAGTTATACAAGCTACAGAACAATCACTTGTTGCAACACCACATGTAAATATAAAATAATTCATTTTTGTTGTTTTTGAATAAAATAAAAAATTTTAATTTTTTTGATTCGTCGTAGCTCTTAGTTAATAATATTTTGGGTCCATTTTTTGTAAAAGAAACTGATATGAATCGATTCTTTGTTTTTTGTTCATTATCAATATGGGATAATCGATTTGAATTAATTGGTTCAACACTTCGATTTGAGTAAATACGAGATAAATTATGATTCTGTAATATCTCTTATATTATGTCTTTATTTTCTTTTGATTAGCAAAATTGGACTATTTTTTATAATAAATATAAATACTTCATTTTCACAATTTGCTTTTTGTTTACAAACTTCTCGTTTGGACAATAATCCAATTCAAACATTGCGACAATGTCAATTGACTATTCAATTATTTGAAAAGACTAGAAAAATTCATTTATATCTATCTGGATGTGTATTTAATAATGAAGATCAAAATTCTACAATAATCACTTCGAAATTTCCAAATATATTTATTGATCATATTTTTAATGATACATTTGCAGCTGGTAGAATTTTTCAAGAAATGAAATTTAATTATACATATGTTAATCAATGGAATATAATCAATATACAAGTCTGTTTTATATGCATGAATGTTCTATAGAATCCTGAGGCATTTGTGATAGTGGTAGATAGACTTTTTTGATTTTCATCATTTAAAACATGCTTGATCATCTCAAATTCTAATTGTTTATAAATGGCATCCAACTAATATCTTTTCTTGAGGTATTTATTGTACATTGAACTAAATGATTGCGATCCAAGAGAAAATTTGGAAATGCACTTTACAAAAAAATTCTTGCAATTTCATATGATTCAATTGGATAAAATTGAAGATAAAAATGTCGAGAAAAACGTCCTACTGTTCGAAATTACGAAAGTTAGAGGACGTAGATCGATGTAAGTGGGTCATGTTGGGAGAATGCCGGTGTGGTTGTGTGATTTCGGAGTGCGTTTAAGAGAAGATTTACAACAACGTTCACATTCACACACCACACCTTCGAATACTGTGTGACTTAAAACTTTTAGTGTCATAGAGATTTTCTACAGCTAACATATGGCATTCGACAAATATTTATTTCTTTCTCATTCGAAAATCATTCATATACAGTGTCTTCCAAAGTTTTTTAAATCATAGATCTATAAATCGAGTTCTTATTTCTATGACTAAACTTAAAAAGTATTCTTCAAAACTATTAAGTATAAGTGAAATATAAGAATTTAACTCTTTTTTCATTCTTTAAAATTTTACTTCATTTGTATTGGTTAATAAATATAATTACCGTATTTGGACTCGAAATGAGTCATGTGCCGCTTTGAAATCGCAATATATCCATCAGAATTTTCTCTATAATGCGTAATGTCAAACAATCTTATTGTTGGATTATTTTTGTTGATAATCCAAGGCCACTAGACTTAGTAGTATTAAATTTCTCTTTCTGTAAAATACATCAAAAAGTACTTGCAGAATCGTTGGTGTAGCTTCATGAATAACTTTGTGGTTCTATATTATAATATAGATTTAATCAAATTGAACGTTTAGTCTTCTGTAAGGTTAGAGTTCGAGCAGTAATCGAAACTTTCTGGGACGGCAGTAGCTTTAGGACTTTACGCAATTATATAGACTTTTGTTTTAGTTTCACAAAGCTTTGAACGATTTTAGGTATAGAGAGTCTATAGATACTCTATCACTGAAGAAAATAAGAAGATTTTTAAAGCTAAAATCTTAATAAAAACTTACCTCGTATATATACATGTTCCATAATCAAAAGCTTAGAGGTCAAAATGATTGAAGAAATCGAAGTAATTAATTGTATACTTTTATTCTACATTTAAAAAAACAAGGCTTAAGCTTTATGTCTAAACTAGAGGCGAAAATTTTGCACGCTGCTTTTGAAGTTTGCTCGTATATATAAAAACTCAATGAATATAGATTTATCATTTTAAACAAAAGCTTAATTGGTAAAGTTGAATCGAATAGTAAAGATTTTTGTAAAAAAAAAAATGAAACAAAATAAACGCCTAAATTTCTTTCATTCTAATTTTTAGAAAGTCGAGCAAATATTAGATCGATGTTTATTAAAAAATATTGATTCAAATTATCATCGTCCATCATTGATCTACATTCGACCAGCAATAATTTATCCAATAGCTAACGGTGATCAACTTGGTTTGTTGAAATTTAAAACTTGAACAAAAAGAGAAAAAATTTGTATTACTTCTTTAGTCACGCAAAATTTCCACTTTTTAACACATAATGATTATGTACTACATGAAAATAAAATTGATAATAATCTATATTTAATTACTTCATTATTTGATAATGTTAGTTGTAAATTTAATAAGTGTTAAGTGCAATTTTTTGTTACTAATAGAGAAAATCAATAATACATCAAGAATTTATTCGTAGTCAATTATCTTGTTATTTACCTTCGAGACGAACAATAACTTTTATAACGAAATGTTTAACAAATACTATAATTCGACCTAAGTTTGAAATAAATTTCGATTTATCTAAATTGATTCCAATTGATCCACCAGTAAATAATAAAAAAAGAAAATTTCTTCTTTTATTATTTTGTTTATGAATTAAAAATAATTTAGATAAATTTTCAATTTAATCGATATCAAGCTGGATTTAATTCAGTTATTGTTTATAATATTGATAATGAAAAAGTTGAAAATTAAATATTAAAATTTAATTTTTAAATTTTTTTATCTTTTAGAATTTGATCTGTGATGGATTTAAAAATTGTTCTTGTATTTCATCATTGATTTCTCATTATTCAATGTATTGTGCTGAACAAGTAATGAAAAATATTTTCTTTCAAATATACTGTTTTTTTTTCAAAAGTTTTATACCATGGATTCAACAATAAATAATCGTATTTATATGAAACTATGGATGGAAAATGAAATTTTGTATTTACCAAATAATAAAAGTATTTTTCTAATTGAAGAATTATCGAATCGTAATGATTATAAATTAATTGGTACGAAGAAAAAGAATTTCAATCATCAGTTTTTTTTTTCCGTGTTCATCTTACATCTCAACAAATAACATTCATTTGGAATAAGGAAGGAAAAACGTTCGACCTTTCGATATAGACAACGACCTCAAGACAGTTTCGTTAGCACTGGCTAATCAAATATCAGCCCTAGTATGATTTTCATAGTGCATTTCGCACTCCACTCTTTTCTAATGAGATGTATACATAGTTTAAAATATGAAACGTAAAGTGCGGCCATTTATTGAAGATCATCCATTAGTTATCAAATAAACAATATTTTTATTTTCAGTTTAGCTGACTTTCTTACAACTTTCTTTGGCATTATAGTTACCTTATAAATAAATATATATGTTGTATCGCTAACTTACATTAGTTAGATAGAACGACTAAATTAAGAGAATATTTACGTGGGAAGATAGATAATTGTGTAAATAAAAATTAATACAAAGAATTTTTACCATACTAAATAATCATTGAGCCTTCCTGCTTGTCTTGACTAAGATATACACAAGCCAAGCGAGCTACTTAAAATAATAGGTATCAAAATGTACTCTGAAGTAAACTGCCATTGAAAATGAAAAATTATTTTTTAGTATTTTGACCGGAATACAATGATGACTAAGAATAGATTGTCACTATATTATTCATTCTCTATTTATTTATTTAGTTTACTCTTTTGTTTCGTAAAGTTACGCTTCACACTTTCTAATTGCTTATTATTATTTAACATTGAATTGTTGAGTAATTCTTATTCTTTCGTGATTCATATTTTAATTATGATAATATGGCAGAACTTTATATATCTTTTTCAACAAAATAATTCATGAAAATTTACTCCAAATGTTCTTGCTCTAAGATAGAATTTTTTTCTAAGTGAAATGTTTTCTATTTTTGTCTTTTCCCGACAGACAGTCACAGTATTGAATCAATAAATTAGTATTCTATTCAGATTTTCTCTTCTGAAAAAATGATTTAAGACTTCAGAAGATCGAACATGTATTTTTCTGAGCACATGTTACAATAAACATGAACTTCAGGAGAAGGGCTTGCATTCTATTACGATCATGATAATATTAATAAGTAAAAAACATACACAAACTAAACAGATGATAGGCACAAGCATGCTGAAGTGCTTCATACGCAGATCTAGTTTACAAAGTATTAAGCTTGTTTGAATTTCTGATAAATACTAATAAATAACTTGTTGATGACATTTTGAATTTAGCAGAAAAAAAAAATGCTGAAATATCATGTCTGAAAAAAATTTGGTTACATTTTTTATTTCAGAAAATTTATGGACGAATGAAATGAAAGAGAAAATAGTTGATTTATTTTTAAAAGATTTTAATCATTTAACAGTTAATGAAATTCATATATTTGAATTATTAAATAAATCATTATCAAATGGAAATTATATTTTTCTTGGACCAAATCTTAAAATAGAATTAATGGTAAAAGAAAAAAAGAAAAACAATATTTATATTTCATTTTTTATTTTAGGATGAAGGTCTTTATCATTTTCGTTTAACTTATTTATGGGGTGATCAATTTTGTTTAACAAGTATTGATCTTTTGGTGTGTAAAATTTTTTGTTTTTTCTTTTTGCAAAATTCATTTTTTGTATTGAGACTTATTTTAGATAATGATGATTAGTAATACATCGACTTTAACTAGTTATACATTTACTTATTTTCTTGCTTGTATATTTATATTAATCTTAATGATTATTCTATGGATAATATATGTAATATTTTATGAAAAAATTTATAAAAAATATTGGAAATATTTTTTTCAATTAAAAAAAGAAACGTTTTTTGTACGAAAATCTATTAATGATAATATTAATTTTGAAATGTTAGTTAAAATTCGTGAACAATCACAGAAATTATTACCTTATAAACATATTATATCCAAAGTGGATAAATTTTGAAAAATAAATTCAATGGAATGAATCATCATAAAAATAATGATGAATAAATAAATTTATTTAATAATACCTATTAAATAGAAACATTTATCTTTTATTAGTCATAAGTAAATATTTACGAGAAATAAGAGAACTATAAACTAAACATATTTATCAGTTTTGATATTATTGAATCATTCCCATCCTACAGAAACCATAATATGACGACTGAATTTTCAATCAGATTACAAAAAAGAAAATCCGAGATAATCACGGATTCTGATAATGAAATATTCTTGTTAGATAATTGAAATAGAAAATCTTGAAATAACTTTTAGATGCATTTTATTTACAAGAACAGCAAATAACGCAGTAACCAATGTCAAAAAGTTTCAATTCTCTATGAAAATGTAGCGTTTGATTTTCATGTATAATATTATTCAACAGATTTATAGAACTGAGCATTATTCAGTAAAAACAATATCGTTTTCAAAGAAATGAACATATCGATTGATAATATTTCATATATGAACTAATCAAGTTATCTGTCTGATGAAAAGAGTCTATCGAATTGGTTCAGATTCGAGATTGATCTATCGGATCATAACTCTACAAGTAATAGTTAACTCTGATTTGGTTATTATTATCAAGATTGTATGAAAAATGACTGTCGAACTAAGACTAAAAAACAATTTCTTTAGAATTATGGATACGAGTCCCGATAGGAAAAAGTTTAATTAACTGGATCCGTGTCGGAAACATGCCGAATAAAACGGGTCCAAAAAATGTTGAACCCGACGGGCTCTAATGAGGAATTCTGGTTCAATGACGATACATCTATTCTCGGTTTCTATAGCATTTGATTTTATTCATAAATTTTCGTGATGATGAATTCAAACTATTATTAATAAATTCGGTTTCAAATTTGTATCATCTATCAAGTAATTTTAAAAACTATTACTTTTATCAAATATGATTCTTTTTTTCTACACTCTTATTAGTAATAAAATACCACTTTAGGAGTAAGAAAATAGTCATAATAGGTTTTTAAACGAATAGTTTATGCCATAAAATAATGTATGGTTTTATTCTTGATCTATTTTTTAGTATTAATTCTCAAAAAAACAACGCAATTGAAAAGGACTTACTTCAATAAAATATTAAATAATATGTTAGTAAATTAAAATCAAGTAAATCATATCTAAACTCATCCTGATTTATTCCCTATAGAAAATTAGAATTCATCAAGTTTCTAATTATTGAATGAAAAGAAAATTAGTTTGTATCTCACTTCCTATGCTTAGCAGTTTATTTCCTGTTACCTGCTGTGATCAACTAGTCATTTTTTTTCTCTCTCTCTCTCTTTCGCGCGCGCCCGCGCTTATAAAAAATTCAATAGAAGCAGATTGAACATAGATTTTTTAATTATTTACTACAAGTAAAAAAAAAACAAGAACCCATTTTGTTTTTCTCTTTTTCTTGATTCTTAATGGAAATTTAGAAGAAGAAGAAATATTTGATTCATTGAGATTTGATAGGATATGTCCACTTGATGATAAAATAAGAAAGATTCTACGATCAAGTGGACAGTTTGATTAGTTCAATTCATTGATTTTCTATAGGCACAATGTCGACAAACGACACGATCTGAATTCGATTAGTGAATGAAGCTCTGATGGTAGAGCTTCCTTTTCCTTTCCTTTTAATAGCATCATGTATCCTAATGAAGACTTGAATACAACTAAAACATACGACGTGCCATTTTTTGTGTCAACATTGAGAAAGAGATTGATGACGAGGGTCAATATTTTTCTATGCTCACGATACAAACGACCATTAGCAAATGCATACATACACACTAACACCTCTCACACCTCTAATGATCATTACACATCCGGTGATAGAAATTGTCAATGAAAATTTAGTATTTTGTTAATATAACATATATTCTTTAACAACAAAACAAAAAAAAAGAAAAAGAGACAACATCCATTATAAATCTATACGCCTGATTACTCTCATATTGTCTCCTTCATATAATCACAAAATCTCTTTTTCTCTTGAGCGCCTACGAGCACCGACTCGGTTCCGTATATATGTATGTCTAATAAGCAATTATCGAGAAAGTGCGACAAGAGTTGCTCTGACAATTGTTCCCAAGAGAGAGCAATAAGAAGAAAAAAAAAACGAGAAAGACCATATACAGAGCTTATCCGTTGTCACTGCATCGGCTCTAATCTTACTCTCGTTTATAATTCAAGATGTTCTCTCTTCGTTTTTGTTATTCTCTATCCAATATGCGTATTAGTAATTTTCATCTCTTATTCGTACTACCATCATCTTAGACGATGTCGTCTATTATTTATTGATGCTGGGAGGTAGAAGCAACACTAATTTATTCTCTTCACCTACACAGTCGGCCAGCCTGCCTCATACTACGATAAGTGTAGAGCAAAGCACAACAGGAGGGCTAGATGAGAAGAGAGAGAGAGAAAATCAGCGCTTTTCTCTGTCACTCTCTCGTTCGATCAACAATGAGTGGGTCATGGTTCACACACATTGTCACATACATGCATACATATATGCATCGATTATATACAGCAGCCGGAGCAATCCCGGTATGGTGCAATCGGCGACAAGAAACGAATGAATGCGTGACAGGGCCAAATCAATCCATCATGTCAACATACGAACTATTAAAGCTTTGAGATAGGAGAAAAGGAATGTGAAAATGATGACATTATACTTAATCGAACATGGCTTCATATTTCTTCATGTATATATATATATATTTCTTTCTCTTTTGTTTTATACAACAAGAAAACGTTTCTTCCCTTTTTCACTGTGTATCCATGTCGCGTGTGTGAACAAATAAACGAAGAGCCAAAAAACAGAAAAAAAAAAAAAAGAACAAGACAAAAAAAAATTTTGGAATCAATACAGAGAATGTGTATAAAAACGAACAAAACGGCACGAACACACGTATACAGCCGATGCGACAAAATAGAAAGATATGACAGATAGAGAAGAAGAAAAAAGAAAAAACGAAGATGTCATATGAATTGAGATTCAAATAGATTGCACATCGACCGGGCTTTATTTTATTTTTATTTTTTTTTGTTTTTTGTTTTGTTTTCCAAGATGATAGAAAAACAAATAGGTCTTTCTTTTGTTACATATGCTGTTCAGGTGATGATGGATCTGGTGGAGAATAATCTTGATGTGAAATTGGTGCTAATGGAGGATAAAAATGTTGCTGTGATGATATAGGTTCAGGTTTCATATAAGAATATGGATGATTACCACCATAACCATATTGAACAGGTGGTGGAGGTGTTTGAGGACTTGTACTTGATGGTGGACCATAATGATACATAGGTGGTGGAGGTGGAAATGGATGTGTATAAAGTGTATTTGGATCTGTCATTGAATATGATGGATTACAATCAGTTAAATATGGTGATGATGATGATGTTGATGCACCAACATTTGTTGGTAATCCCCAACTTGTACCACGTGGTGGTAATGATTGTAGTGATGAAAGATTTGATGTTGAAGAATTTAAATGATGTTGTTGTTGTTGTTGTTGTTGTTGTTGATGTTGATGATGAAGATGATTTGATTTATCTTTTTTTTGATGTGAATGATGATTATTAATTGTTGTTGAATTATGATTATTTGATAATGATGTTTGTGTTGTTTGTAAATTTTTTGTTTTACGTCTTGGTCGATATTTATAATCTGGATGTTCTTTCATATGAATTGCACGTAAACGTTTAGCTTCATCAATAAATGGTCGTTTATCATCTTCATTTAAATTTTTCCATTCAGCACCTAAACATTTACTTATTTCAGAATTATGCATTTTGGGATTTTCTTGTGCCATTTTACGTCGTTGTCCACGTGACCATACCATAAATGCATTCATTGGTCGTTTAACACGATCATCAAGAGATTTTTTTGATGATGATGATGATGAATTATGATGATGATGTTGATGATGATGATGATTTGTTGATATAGAATTTGGTGTTAATGCTGATGATGATGTTGGTGGTGTTGTACCACCAGGTGATGATGATAATGGAGATGATGGATCATCTTTTGATGAATTTGAATTTGGTCCATTCATACCATTTGAATATTGTGATGGAGGCATTTGTAAATGATGTTGCATCATTAAATGTGTATGTGAATGATGTGGATTCATCATCCAATTCGTTGATGGTGGTGGTGGTAAGGATTGTTGTGATTGTGCGGCTGATGGATCATAAATATTTCCATGATGATGATAGGGTACATGATGATGTGGATAATGAGATGTATTAAATGGTAACTCGGAATTCGAGTCCATATTATACAATGATACCATAACTGAAATAATAAATGAAATTCAAACAAAAAAAAGAAGAAAAAATAGAAAGATAACATACTTTTAAATAGAATTTTAAATAATAAAAACACTTAGCATTCCATTGGTTAATGACTGAAGAAAAAAAAGATGATATTATTAGCATAATAACTTGTTTTTTTTTTTTTTTTTTATTATCTGTACTAAATAAATGTCATTCTCAATTGTATTATGTGTATATAACAATTACACATCCAATTCATTCTTTTATTCATTCTTCTTTTTTTTTTTTTTTTGTTTTGTTTTTTTTTTTTCTTTTTCTTCTCCCTTTTTGTTTTCTCTATTGTTATAGAATAAAAGGAAGAACTTTACCTGGTGTATATGTGTTTGTTAATAAGAAGAAACCGTCATGTTGATGAGATGAATTCAATACAATACAATCGGATCGATATTCAATGTGCCTGACGCCGACGCTTACTCCTTTTTTTTCTCTTCTCTCTCTCCCTCTCTCTCGTTTTCTCTACGGATGGAAGCACAAAAGAAAAGAGAAAAAAAAATTTTGTTTTTTTTTTTTTTTTTTTTTTGTTGAGAGAGAGAAATATAAGCACTGGATTCGTATAATATCCTCTTTCAATAGCAGCACATGGCTTGTCGTGTATTATTCGAAAGGTGT